CAAATAAAAGGGGTAATAGATAGGAAAAAAGGATGTTAAATTATCATTATTTGTGGATGACATGATACTCTACATAGAAGACCCTCAAAACTCCATTGAAACACTTCTAGATATAATAAATAAATTAATCAATGTAGCTGGATACAAAATCAATACTAAAAAATCAATAGCATCCCTATACATTAACAACAGAATCACTGACAGAGAAATAAGGGAAGCCACACCCTTCACAGTAGCATCCAAATAAATGAAATACTTAGGAATTATTCTCATGAAAGAAGTGAAAGATCTATATAGGCAAAATCAGTATTATAATTATAACTGAGAAAAAAGAAATTGAAGAAGATCTCAGAAAAACGAAAGACATTCCTTGCTCATGGATAGGAAAAATAAATATTGTGAAAATGGCCATTCTCCCAAAAACTGTTACACAGATTCAATGCAATTCCAATAAAAATACCATCCATCAACATAGCTCATAGGTCTCAAGAAATCACTCCTAAAATTCATCTGGATCCAGAAGAAAACTAGAATATCAAAGACAATTCTAAGCAGCAAAGGCAAGACAGGAGGTATCAAAATCCCTGACTTGAAGTTATGCTACAAAGCAAATGTAATAAAATCAACAGGGTACAGGAATAAAAAGAGAGCTGAAATTCAATGGAATAGATCATAAGATAAAACCACAACTACAAACACATTCAACCACCTTAACTTGATAAAGGAGCCAAACATGTTAACTGGAAGAATGACAGTCTCTTTAATAAATGGTGTTCGAAAAACTGGCTCCCCATATGCTGAAAACTAAAACTAGACCCGTGCCTATCACCATGTACTAAGCTAAATCTAAATGGATCAAAGATCTGAATATTAAAACAGAAACACTAAATCTATAAATTTTGTAAAAACCTTGAAGACATATTGGTAGGTAGAGAATTCATGAACAGGAATCCAACTTCACAGGAAATACTTCCTGTAATCAATAACTGGGATCATGTCTTATTAAAAAGTTTCTGCATGTCAAAAGAAATCTCCAGTATACAGAAAAGAAAACCCACAAATTCAGAAAAAAAGTCTTAGTGAACTGTCCATCAGACAAAGGACTTCTGCCTAAAACATTTAAAGAATTAAAAAAAATCAGACCCCTGAAATTCAAATACCCAATCCAAAAATAGGCATCTCAGATGAATACACAGTTCTCAGATGAAGAAATACAAATGACATATAAATACGTGAAAAAATGTTCATCGTCGTTACTCATTAGAGAAATGCAAATTAAAACCACACTGAGATTCCATCTCACTCCTGAAAGAATGGCCAGGATCAAGAAAACCACCAAAAACAAATGGTGGAGAGGCTGTAGGGAAAAGGAACTCTCCTGCACTGTTGGTGGTAGTGTAGACTGGTGCAACCATTGTGGAGGTCAATCTAGAGATTTCTCAAAAAGCTGGGGTTGGAAGTCCCATTTGTTCCAGCTATTCCATTTCTAGTCATATTCCCAGAGGAACTGAAAATATCCTACCACTGTGATATATATCAATGTGATACCCATGTTTATAGCAGCACAATTTGTAGTAGCCAGATCTTGGAAACAACCTAAGTGTCCATCAACTGAGAAATGGATGGAAAAGTTGTGGTATTTTTATACAACGGAGTACCTCTCAGCTATAAAGAATGATCACATTGAGATGTTTACAAATAAATGCACGCAGCTTGAGATCATGTTCATAAGGGAAATAAATCAAACTCACATGTATAAATACCGAATAGTTGCCTTAGTGTAAGAAATGGTAAGAACACATAAAAGTACATGGTAATCATGATTCCCCATTATATTTCTTTGGAGCCTCATAATGTTTTCATAAATTAGCTGGAATGGTTTTATTCTAGGTTGTTTGATTTTATTCTCTGTAATGATATGAACAGCTATTTTGAAGAAATCAAGACATTAAAATAGCTAGTGCTGATTTAATATCATCTTGTTTTGAAGTCCAACCTAGCTTTTATTCTTCTGTCTCAATCAGTTTTATCATGTTGTAACTTGTTGAATTTTATTATATGTGATAATATAATCAAAATTTTTTATGGAAAAGGAGATAATAGAGTAAACATTGTTCATTTTTTGTAAGTTGATTTTGAATACCCTACAATACTTTCATTCTTTTGAATGGTTTTATACTGTCTTGTTATGTTTGATACTATAGTATATGAAGGTATACTCAAATATTTCAAGTAAAGAGACACTATGGTAGCTACTGTTATGTCGGGTTGTCTTGTGGTGAAGCACTATGTTGCTTAAATTGTTCCTTTCTGAAAAAAAAGATACAGATGGAAAAATGGAGGAACACAAAAAAAGGAGAGAAATGTTTGATGAAAAATATAAAGAAAACTTACAATATGTGAAGCAGATTCAAAGAGATTACTAGGAAATTAAAAACTCCATTGAAAGCTGGCAAAACTGCTTGAAAGAAACTAAGGATAAACTATCAAAACTGGAAGATAGGTGTGATCATGAAAAGAAAGATCTTTTAAAAAAATAACAAGGAAACAGGCAGTAGCAATACAAAGGCTAGAAGATAATAAGAGGTTCTGTAACTTAAGAATAAAGAATGTGTATGAAGAAACAGCAGTGAAAAAGGAAATACAGAGGGTATTTATAGAAATAATTAAGGAAATCTTCCCAAGCATAGGAAGAGGAAATGATATTCAGATGTATGTGGCATACAGAACTCCTGCCACCTATAACCAAAACAGTGCTTCACTCAGACATATAATAGTCAAGATCCCAGAAACTCAATATGAGAATAGAATATTAAAAGCCATCATAGAAAAGAAACAAGTCACTTATAAGGAAAACCCATCAAAATCTAACAGACTTCTCAACACAGACCATCAAATCAAGAAGATCTAGGAGTGAAGTATTCTAAGCCCTGAAAGAAAACAACCTCCAGTCCAGATGGATGTACCCTGAAAAAGTGTCTCTAAAAGTAATGTAGAAACGGATGCTTCCAAGACAAAGAGGAACTGGGGGTATTCCTGACCACAAATCCAACATTACAGAGAATATTGATTTTTCTAGAGAGAGAAAAAAAATTACCAGGAGTTCAGGAACAGTGGTAGAGAGGCCTCAATGAATGGGGCAGAATGTGGAATGAAGGAGAAAGGCAGAGAACTAATGGCAGAAATATAGAATAGCAGGAATGAGGCAGAGAAGGTTGGCTATAATCTCCAATACAGATGGCCTTGACACACTGGGAAAAAAAAAGGAATAAACACAGGCAGAATAGATCCAGAGGTATGGTCCACCCAGATGCTCTATATAGGAGATATAATTAACCTGAAAAAGGGTTTTTGGACTGAAAATCAAATATGAGAAAACAATCCTCTCTGTGTGACAGGGAACAACTCAATCAGTACCTGCAGATAGGTTGGAAAGTCAGGCTTTTGTAGATAAAAACATACAACTTGAGTGCAAGAGTGAGAAGGTTTAGAACCACTTGGGTAAATATCAGGTTGTTCCACAATCTAAAAACTGAAGGAATTGGTGGGACCAAAATGGCACAGTGCACCCTGTGAGTGTGAAGGGGGAGGCATAGTATAAAAAAAAGAAGGCAGAGGATATTTTTAATAATGTATCAGAATTTAAACCCACATTACTCACACCATTCTGCTTAGATATATTATATTCTGTTCAAGTTTGTCTACTTGCACTAGATTTGAGGGCACAAACAGCTATCCCAAAAATAGCAGGATAGAGTATGGTAATCATCCTTAATTTCCTATTAACTTAATCTGAAGCCCTGTGTAACTTATACTGTTTTACCATGACTGACTTTATTTGAATCTGGTTTGTTAGATTATTGTTTGGTATCAACAGATTTTATTCAAATCGGTTATAATTGATAGTATCAAACCTGCGAGTATAGGCAACTATACTAAAAATAACAAAATTCACTAGGATTCCCATTCTGGTTTGATTATCACATGCTTTTGAATTTTTATACTATTTACAATATTTTGTTTTTATCAATATTGTTATGCACTGCTATATACAATTGTACCATGCCTGATGATATAAACAATTCTATTGAAGATAACAAGAACCATTATCTTCAGTAAGCACTGTAGAACACCTTGTACTGAGGTTTTACATGACTTTTTCATTTTATGTTTTTATAGGAATATGTTTTGTTTTGTCTTGCTTTATTTTGTTTCTCCCTCTAATACAGAATGGATAGAAATACATGTAGAGCCTCATACATGCATAAACCTATAAACAATTTATAAGAACTGATCATGTAACTCTTGATTGAATGAAAAGCTACTTTGAAGAAAAAGAGATACTACAGTACCCAATGTTTATCCCGTAGCATCATGATGTGAAATCCAGCAGTACTATTATTATTTATTCAGAGTGATTTTAGCCTGATTTGTTTTGTTTAATTTTAACATGCATGAAGGTATGGACAGCTATTTTGAAGAGAATGAGAGACACAATGACAGCCATTGTTGACTTTCCTGTTGTCCGATCTTGAAGACCTAAAATACCTTCCTCATCTCGTTCAGATAAGTTCTATACTATGTTGTTTCATGTGAATTCTCTGTATGTAAAGATATGGACAACTATTTGGAAGAAAACAGACAATATGATAGAGAAGATCTCTGATTGTCTTGCTTTGAAATTAATGTCTCTTACATTGCTTTCTCATGTTGTGTTCTATTGCGTTCAGTTATACCCTCTTTAAAATAAAAAAAAAATAGTGTAGTCTAGAGTTGCATCCATTTACCTATAGAAGTCTCTGGTGTATCCTTTTTTGACCAAGTAGTACTCAGTTGTATCAAAAATATGTCTTTTTTTTAAATCAATCTCTTGATTGATGGGAATTTTAGTTATTTCCAAAATATAGCTATTACTGAGTTTACACATGTATGTTTTTAACTATTTGTATAAATGAAAGCTAGCTTATATCACTTCCAGCCTAAGTCTTGGCCAAATGTTGCTACAGCAACAAGGGCAGGTTTGTGCACAGGCTGCAGCTGTCTGAGGAGCACTGTGCTCTTGCTGCGCAGAAGTAGGTGGCTGAGTCTCCAACCTGAGAAGTCCTGATATGCAAAGAAAGCTCTTTGTCACTCTTCTTGAGCAGTACTTTGAATCTTCCATCTTCCTTCTCATTTGAAATTAATCGTATGGTGATCAGCAGTTCAAGACCTTTACCAGGGAGCTGCCGGTACCACAGGAAGTAGTCAAATGCACTGTTCTCATATGTGCAGTTCAGAATTGAAGTCTCTCCTTCCTGGACTGTCAAATATGAAGGATTTTGTTTCACCTGTTGTTGGTCACTTTTATCCTTCTGTTGGCTGCTCACCCCTGCTTAGGAAGATTTTTTAAAAAGTCATTAGGCCCTAAAATTTTATTTCCCTTTTAAAGTTTCTATTTGTATGCTTTGTTCTGTTCTCCAATGTTTTCATTCCCTCATTTAACACATACCCCGGGGTTTCTCCTCTACACTCACATGCCCTCTGAAGGACGAGAATTAGAACTGATGCTCCCAGAATCTTGTTCATGCCTCCTGCAGCCAGGGCTCAGTGCAAACCCCGTGGTCTTTGGTCTGCCCAGGTGGCTGGAGCTCTGCCTGACTCACACCCAGTTTAGTTCTGTCAGCAGGCTCCACCCCCTGCAGGGGTTTTCACTTAATCTCTGTCACAGGAAGCACTTTCCAACTTGGGCCAATTTTAGTCTTTTGAAATCAGAAATCCACTCTGTTTATATGGAGTATTCATTTAACATTTTTCTTTGTTGATCTCTTTCTACACTTTCCAGTTCCTAGAATATTAAATTTAATATGTTGTAAGAGCTATGCCAATAAAAATCATCTCATTATACAATAATGAAAGAGAAGGTATCCCATGATACCTAAAGGTTAACACCTACAAGGACATTTCACTTTTCCTATAAATCTTAAAGTTTCTGACAACACACAATTGACAAAATATGACATTATAATCTAAAGTCATGGAATATATATGCTTTGTCTTTTTTGTTTTCTGGAAACTTCACTTTTTTACAGTCTTTTATGTGTGCTCCTATTTCATGGCTAAGAAATGATAGAAAACAAGTCAAAGCCAGTTTCCTTGCAGTTTTTATAAAATTCATCTCATGTGCATTAAATATTTCAAAGAATATCTGATGAAAAATATTAGAATATCCTGTAACAATCTATCCTGGAGAAGCTCTGACTTTCTAACAAGAGGAAGAGAACATTTTGCTGACTTCAGAAGATATGAGAACTTGGCTCTTCAGAAATAAAGCATTTTTGGTAAATGGTATCTCTGATTCTGAGTTTGAATAGGCAGTGAATATTTTCTTTATTCTCATGGATGAAAATGAAAATATAAAGAATTAATTAGCTATAGATGTTTACACCATGAGAGAGTAGTGGCAAAAACTGACAATTCTAAAGCAGCCCCAAAAGGAGGAATGGTCTCAGTTACGAATAACAGAAGTTAAAAGGACAAAGTGCAGGTTGTTTTCATGAAGTGCAGGATGGATTTTTTCTGCGTATTATATAGTACCTCAGCTCCAGTCAGTGAAAAAGATCATCATAATCCAATAGAAGAAAGTGTTGCATATCCCTCAGTCTATGCAGTCCCATTCTGTGGCCCTGTCATATAGGAAGTGGTTTAATTGCTTAAGGTTTTTGTGTGTTTAGGATATCCTCCCTTATCTGTGGTTATTACGTTCCAAGACCTCAAGTAAATGTCTAACACACAAATTGCATCAAACTACAGGGAAGATCCAGACCCTCTTTAGAGAGTAGAAAATGCTCCCTCCGTGTGGCGTGACACCAGAGATTTTCCAGCAGCTTCAGGGTGTAAAGCTGAGGAGCTATGGTGTTGATGGCTGCCTCCAGGCAGACAGCACTGTCCCTCCTAGTGCAGGGTGGCATTCCCACCCTATTCCCCCATCAGCCCACAACTTTAAACCCCTAGCAACAAGCCCAATGTCCAGTCAATCAAGTATTGCTCCTCCTAGGGGGTGGAGCCTTACTCTTACCCCATCCAATAGGACACCCCAGATTCTGAGCGCCCCACACTTCCATCAAAATGGGTTTTACTGCCTGGCTCTAATGAATCTAGGAACTCCTAGACCCCAGACCGACTGAAAGTAGCAAAACCCAATATTTTATGTTTTTCCTAAATTTTTTCCTATACTATTATTTCCTATATGTTTTTTCTATGCTATCATTTTCATTCTATCACCTAAAGGAAGCAATTCTTGATCTCTCTTTACCATATTCCAATTACTAGCACCCTTACTTTTGTACTTTGGACCTTTGCTAAGTAAAATAAGAATTACTTACACACAAACAGTGATGATAGTCAGTCTGATAATGAGATGCCTATGAAGTGACCAATGCCCACATAGCACATAACATGTCTACCCCATTAAAAATTAGGGTTCACGTCCCAGGACAGGTAGAGAAGGATGGCAGGAGATTCTACCATGCTGCTATGAACGATGTGCAATTTTAAAAACTTGTCAATTATTTATCTATGAACTTTCCACTTAATATTTTCAGAGGTTAAGGTTGAGGCTAAGGAGGGACTGGTGCATATGTACTGGCCAAACACCTGCCACACGGGCAGTATCTGGGTCTCATTGTGAAAGGCGAGTCCCAGTCTACAGGTCAGCCCAGTACTCAGGGACAGCAAGGTGAAATCTATAAGAGAATTCAGTGCCTAGAAAAGGTGACCACAACAGAGAGATGAGCTCTGTTTCTGGACCATGTCACTGAAGAGTCTGGAGAGAAAATATGTTTGGAGTATGCCTTAAACCATGAATGGATTTCCCAGTAAAAAGAGTCTAGAAGACAATTCTAGTTCAGTTTAATCAGCAGAGCAGCAGATTCAGTGATACATGGATGAGGTCATTTTGTGCTCAGAAAAGTTAATGTAGCCCTGACCTTGAAAATGACCTGTGTCTTTAGAGAACTCTTCTCTTCCCACGTTGTATTTTTCAACCCTCTGAGCCTAGACATTATTTAGGTAGATGGGTGGATACATACACGAACTGACATCTGATATTTAAAAAGCTGAAGCAAAGGAGGGGAGAATGATTTTCTACTTTTTAAAGAGATCATACCTGTCTGAGGGTGTGTGAACCCTTACTGTGGTCTGAGTCAGCACTGTCCCCTTGTGGTGATTAGGGTGTCAGCTAGGTCAGGAAAAAGCAGGGTTACCAGGATGTGAAATGTGCACCTCAGTGCCATGTGGGCAGTTACTTCAGAGGCCTGGGCTGGGCATTGGTCTGAGTTACTGCCTGACTCCCCTGTCCCGGCTTCCCTTACCCATGGCAAGTCGAGGTGAAACCTCCACACTGAAATGCATGCACCCTTACATGCCCTCTAAATTAGACAGCTGGGACCCTGGAGGGCCATCTTTGTTTTTCAGTCAGTTTTTTTACTTTTGTATATAATGGTATTGTAGTGATATCTTACTGTGGTTTTTAATTGCATTTTTCCAATGAATGTGATGTAAACATGTATCAGCAAACTTTGTCCAGAGAGAGTCAAGTAGTAAATACCAAATTCTCAGCTTAGACGGTCATTCATTCTCTATTACAACTTCTCGTTTCTGCCACTGAAACATGCAACACAACCTTGATTAGCAAAAGGCACTGCTTTAATCGAACTTCATAAAAACACATACATGACTGCATCTACCTCATGGGTCATGTTTTATGGAACCCTGAGGAAGAGCATCTTCTCATGTTCATATATTTTCTTTTTGAGAACTATGTGCAAATATTTTGTTCATCTTAAAATTCAATCTTTTATTGAGTTTTAAAAGCTCATATATATATATATATATATATATGCCTTTTTCTCATATATATGTGCCTTTTGTATTATTAAATATTTCTAAGACCTCTGTCCCAACAAGCACAATATATTGCTTATAGAAATTAAAGAAAGTTTAATAAACAGAAATATATGTTATGTTCATGAATGAGAAGACTCAATAACTTTAAACTTCCCAAATTCTGACATGAATTCAATGAGCTATGAATTAAAATTCTAATTCTTCATATGAATTGAAGAAAAACTCTGTAATTATTTGGAAAGTAAAAGATGTTCAAATAATCCAAACTGAGCAACATAGGAGAATTCATCTTTTCATGTTCATATATTTTCTTCTTGAAAACTATGCTCAAATATATTGTTCATTTTAATATCCAAACTTTTATTGAATTTTAAGAGCTATATATGTCTTTTTTCACATATATATGCTTTATACATTATTAAATATTTCTAAGATCTCTGTCCCAAAAAGCACAAAATATTGCCTATAGACATTAAAGAAAGTTTAGTAAATGGAAATATGTATTATGGGCATGAATGGAAAGATTCAATAACTTTAAACCTCCCAAATTCTTCCATAAATTCAATGAGCTATCAAATAAATTCTAATTCTTCATATGAATTCAAGAAACAACTCTGTAATTATTTGGAAAGTAAAAGATGGTCAAATAATCCAAGCTGAGCAACACTGGAGAATTCAACCTACAAATTTATTGTAAAGCACAGGACTCCACAGAGTTTAATACTGGTGAAAATCGGAGATGTAAGTTAAGTAGGTATTGTATCAAAGTAGAAAAATGAGTAATAAAAAATATGTTCAGTTGTACATCCATGTTGAATCAATTTCAAGGAATATGCAAGACAGCCCAGTGGGGGAAATGAAAGTGTTCTCAAGAAGCTGGATGAGTCCGTGGGCAGCGCCACATGAGGCTGAGCCTGGGTGACTGTCAGTGACGGCTCCATTGCTTTGCAACCCGAGAGTAATAAATAAACAGAGACTTCTGAGAAAGGAATTGTTTTTCTTCCAAAAATTAATAGGTTCATTAATCCCATTAATAGATTCATTTTGAAAAGTTCATACAGGCACATATAATCATTTAATTCCTCCTTCACACACTGCCTCTCTCTCCTCACCAGTTTTATGTTTTGGGGAGTTCTAACATATATTGTGTGTTGTGCTCGTATCTGTACCCCTTATTACTGGCCCTTGCACCCCTTTCTGTTATTTCCTTTCTCTTGACTAATAAAAATATATTCTCTTCTACTTTCTGTTTTTTTTAACATTCTACATATTAGAATATTTGACACTTGTTTTTCTGAATCTGACTTATTTATTCAAAATGACGGTCTCCAGTTCACTCATTTTCCTGAAAAAGACACAATTTCATTCTTCCTTAGGACTTAGTACTGCCACACTCTATATATAATGTCATGTTTTCTTTTGTCACCTGTTGGTGGGGACTTATGTGTGTCCGTATCCTGACCACTGTGAGCTGGGCTGCACTCCCCCTGGGTGTGCACACATCCTTACACTCCGCTGACTTACTTCACTCAGGTAGGTGTGTGCCTGGAGCAGTACTGCTGGACCCAGGGGGGGCCTTTTTTTATTGCTCTGAGAAACTTCCAGATTGATTTCCATGGTGACTCTATTAATTTGTATTCTCAGCAGGAACCAGGCATCCTCACCAGCATTTATTGCTATTTGTATTCTTTATGAGATACACGCTGGCTGCAAGGAAGTGGAATCTCCTTACTTTCAATTTGCATTTTTTCATTAGTCAAAGATGTTGAACATTATTTCATGTTCCTATTGGCCATTTGTACTTCTAGCTTTGAGAGATATTTGTTGAATTCTTTTTCTCATTTATTTATGGAACTATTTTTTTTTTTTTTATGTTACACTCCTGAGTTCTTCATATATTCTAGATATAAACCCTGGACTGGGAGAATAGCTGGTAATGATTTTCCTCCATTCTGTAGGTGGCATCTTTGCTCTGTTAGTTTCTTTTGGTGTGAAGAAATTTTAAAATTTGATTGCATACTATTTGTTGATTCTTATTATTATTTTTAGTGCTATTAGTATCTTATTCAAGAATTCACTGTCAGTGCCTTTAGCCTCAAACGTTTCCCCTGTTTTCTGTTAGCTCTTTCAAAGTTTGAGACCTAGATGCCAGGATCTCTGACCTTTGCACATCCAAGATACAGAGTTTCAGTCTTCTACAAGTGGATATACAGTTCCTTAGCAGGGCTTGTTAAAGAGACTGCATTTGATCCGGTGTGTAGTTTTGGTTCTCTGTACAGAACCAGATGGGTGAAGCTAGTCTGAGAAGGTAAAAAAGTGGGTTATAGTAACAGAGTTGAAAAAAATTTTGTTCATAAAATGACCTGTACATCGAAGTTTAGCATAGGTTTTTATTGGATGGTAGAACATAGGGGATTTTATTTTCAATAATGAACATGTGCCGTCATGCGAATAAAAAACCCAGTGCCCTTTTAAAAACTGTAACTACATATGCTTCCAACACTTCCTAACTAGCTCTTGTTTCATTTCTCCTCATTTTCCCACTACAGTTTTCCCTTCTTTACCCTGTTTTTTAAATTAGTATATGTAATTATTTCTTTCTATGTTATGTTTTCAATGGCTTTTCTAAGGTTTACATTGTACCCACAAACTGATATTTCGTGTTCTATTTAGTACTACTTGGCTACTTCAAGAAAAGTAGATGACACTGGGTCGGTCATCTTCCCTCTCCTCTTCATGTTATGTACTTGTTAGTTGTCTTCCATGCTCAGATTCTGAAAACCTCATCAGGTGATAATATACCACTGATTTCAGGATTTGTGTGCATTTTAAATAAGTCAAGTAAATAAACAAATAAGTGAAATACAGCACTTAGAAAACTGTTTTACAAGAGAGCTGATTAAGTGTCCTACAGCAGTAGCACCAAAACAAATCAAAATGAAAAAAAAAAGGAAGAAACAGGAAATGCAGAGAGGTGGTAGATATTGTCCATTTTGTTGGTTGTGATGGTGGTTACAAGGGAGAATGTAAATTCCAAGATCATGAAGTTGAATCTATCAAATATGAGTAGTTTTGTACAATAATTCTACTTCAATAATGCTTTAAAAAACTTAGTAATCTCTCACATTTTATATTTATTATGCTGTTCTTCCATTATTCTTGTAGGTTTTTTTGGTACCGGGTATTGAACTCAGGACCTTTCGCTTGCCAGGGAGGTGCTTATACCACTGAGCTGTACCCCCAGACCTCCTTCTTTTGCTCTTGAGGTTGTAGTATTTCCCCTGGTGTCTTTGCTTTCAGCTTAAGCATACTTCCTTTTTCTTCCTTTTAGAACAAGTGTGCTCATAATAAATTTTCTCAATTTTGCTTTATTTGAAAATCTCTTGATTTTATCATAATTATTATAGAATGTTTTCACCACTTACAGAACTCATTGTGGATGGTTGTTTGCTTCTGTCAGCTGTTTAAAAATGCAGTGGGAGGAGATCATGGCTCCCTGGCCATTGCACAGAATTTGGTTTTATTCTGAGGGCGACAGGAAGCCAGTGCAGGAGTTTTATCCATGAGTGACCTTACTGGTACTTCATGGCTGCTGTACTAAGAATGGAGAACTGGGAGACAGGCACAGGGAACATTACAAGGCTAGACCTAGATGAGTTAGACCCAGAAGACGAAGTAGCCAGGCCCTGGGTTCACTTGAGAGGTGAGGACTCCTGGATAACATGATGGATTAGATGTTAGCAGTAAGGGGAAACTGAGTCAGAAATAAATCTGAGATTGTACACCTAAAGATCCTGAATGGAGTCTCTATCAACTGGAAAGCAAGTGGTAGTAGGCAAGCGGTATGATTGGGAGTGGGGAAAGACCAGGAGGTCAGTAACCATTATGCAGAATCAGTGCACTGACCTAGAGTGCAGGGTCTTTACCCACACAGGGAACACCCGTGTGAGCTCCTCTGTCCGGTGTCTTGTCTGACATGACTCAGTAGTGAGAGAAAGAACTTACAGAAATTCCAGTTCTTCGCAGGAGTCTAACGTCTCCCAGGTCTCCGCTGCTCCCCCTGCTCACTTTCATCACATCAGAGAGCTTGCTAAAAACAGGTCAGGTCTTGCCTGCACCTCACAGAAAGTCCTGTGTTTCTAGAAGTTTGTGTTCGGCTCCCCCTGCAGTCTCAGGCACTGTGTCACTCAGAGCACAGAAGTACATGGCCGCGTCGCTCCACTGGGCTGAGGATTTCTGCAGGTGAAAGGAGGTTTCACTCTTCTTAAACTCAGCCTTAAAATCTCTGTTGCTTATAACCACAGATGACCCTGGAACATATTTCAGGAGGAGCTGGAGGTCTTTTTCAGGTTGCTGGATGTACCAGAAGAGGTAAGGTGTTGCACCATAGGTATAGTTGCATTTCAGCACGAGAGCGTGTCCTTCAGTGACAGTGACATGGCGGTCAGGCTGGGCCACTGACTGGGCTCCACCTTCTCCTGCAACATCAAGTCTGCATCAGTGAGACCAGGACAGACCCACCGTAATGGCACAATGTCCCACTCCATTTTCATTACTTTAAGGAGGCAGGAACAGGGAACACTGCATACTTACTCAAGGTGAGAGGCATTCCAAGCAGGAGGAGGGTCACTGAGAGCATGGCTGGTCAACAGGAGGCCGAGAGTGCAAGTCTGAGAGGTCCTTCAGAAGGAATGGAGTCTCTCTAATAGGAATCTCACATCCGAGAGTTCCTTTTTCAGGCACAACCGAGAGACTAATGCTAAGAGATGCTGTCTTAACGATGACAGCATGTACTCTGTCACCAGTACTCTGGTGTTTGTCCTGCTAAGACTGCACTCAGTGTGCCAGAAGGCAAAAAGAAGCCCCTAAGAGGGAACACACAATTCCGTGCATGCAAACACTGCCCCCTGGTGGTAGAGTACAGAAACAGTGTGAACCTCAAGTTTTTTGTGCTAGATTTTCTTAGTTTAATCTGGTGAAAATATTTTCAAGGGTCTACATTTTGAGAGGATATTTTAATCTCACGGACAAAATAACAACATTAAGTTATATGAAGTGAATTATATTATCATGCTCACTTAAAAAATAAGAACATTGACGTATGGAAGAAATAATGCCATTTGTCCAGTATCACAATGAGAAAAATGGACTTGGTCCTACTAATACGGGTTAAGAGTCCACGGTATTGGCCAGGGTTGACCATTGCAAGTTTTTCACTGTTGCCTTTTAGAATAAACATTTTCCTTACTTCACACTCGGAAACCCAACTACTATAGCAATAATGTGCCCAAGGACACATAAGTTTCAGGCTATTATAAAAAACAAGGTGAAAGCTGACAACACAGACCCTCAGAAAAAATTCAAAAGGCAATGCGGACTGAATAAACTGTTTCCAAGACCAAACATTGTAGGAAAAATAAGTGGAGGGGCTACTAAAGAACCTCAGCACCGTCAGAGAGTGAAGTGGGAATTCCAGAGTGGATGAGGTTCTGCGAGAAGGAGTTTTAAGAAGAACTGTGTGATCACAGAGCAAAAGATAAAGAAAGCACAAGAGAAGATTGTTTTTCAATGTCTGTTGGTCTTTCCAGTAGAAGATAAAAATTTGCAGTATATTTTGGGATATTTGGGTTACATAAAGGAGAAGAAAAATATGTGATGTCAACTAGCTTTGGTTTTTAACACTTGGGCAATATTAGCATGGTTTGAAAAAAGCCATGAATGAGAATTCAGAGATGATAAATAGAATAGAAATAAGATCACAGATCAAAAGATCAAGTTTTGGCAGGAGGAACAGATATTTCTAGTTTTATTGAAATAAAAGAGGATAGGATCTGTTCGTGTTTAAGCAATTCTTTGGAATATGAAGGGAGAAGTTTGACTCACCTATTATTTTCTAATAGAATTTATTATTTCTTATGAAGAGAAATTAACTATTTACTAAAAAATCGAATGGAGATCACTCTCGGTTAGGAATTTTGAGTTGTGTGAAAAATTTTGAAATAACACCTGTAAGGAAGGGCATTAAGAAATAATTAAAGGGTTAACAAGTACTTGCCTGGAACCACTATAAATCAAGTTAATGCTGACAGTAACAAATCTCAGCAACACCAGCCTACACCTCTCTATCATTATTGTGAACCTTCTGCATCAGACAAAGTTGGCATTATAAGGATGATATTTATGAATGATTGGGGATTAATACAATCATCACTATGGTGCAGAATTGCAATGGGAATAATGTAATCAGTGACCAAAGAGTTCGAGTAAAAAGCTCTAGAATGAAGTTTTTGGTAAGACCACAGAACAAGCCTTTGGAAAATAAGAAAACAAAAAAGGAGGGAATATAGGATGAAGCAGCAACTAGATCTGGGTGAATTTGTCAAGTAGGGACTCCTGGATATGTTGATGGATTAGATGTGATAACATACAAATGATAATATAAATTCAAAAAACAGATGCACTGTAAGGATCTGTGCATGACTACATAAGCATGGGTGGATTTAGGCTGGGTGTAAGATTTTAGGTGGACCAGCATCTGATTGGAGAATTATGGCAAAATCTTTCTGGATTGTGTAAAGGCAAGTGTATGGCTAGGGGATTCAAATTAATGGTATTTGAAATTGCCGAGTTCTGACTTTTTTCGAAATGCCCCAGGCCAACAGTAAAGTTGCATTGTATTCAGTTTACAGTGGAAAATATTAAACTTGGTTAAATTCTTCAGTATGTGAAATGTCTTGACTGAGAAGATGATAATAAGAAAACAGTAGAGGAAAATCAGGCCAAAATCTCAAAATTTCCAAGATAGTGCCTAGGTTTTACAGGTAATGACATGTATAAATACGGTACTTAAGACTGGGGTGTTTTAGCTGTGGTAGAACAAGGAACACAATGGAAAGACAATTATTCCACACAGAGAATTGCATTTCAGTTCAGCCACATGGAAACAATTCTCACAAAGACTATGAAATGTGGCTTTTTGTCAGTGCTGAAGATCAAACCCAGGGCCTCTTGCATGCTAGGAAAGTACCACATACCACTGAAATATATGCCAATATTTTGTTTTTGATAAAATGGAAATCTGAAAGCCAAGTCAGTATTGAAAACAGAAGAACCGTCAGGTCCCCTGGTGAACGATTATTCTCAGAAAAGTCAGTCCTGTAGGACAACAAGTACTTCCCAAGGTCCTAGTGTGGAGAAACTTGTTTGCAGGAAAGCAATTTGGGCTGAGTTTTTCACGCAGATTGAATAGATATCAAGTTTCAGGCTCTCCAAAAAGGCACCGCTCTTCTCCAAAGAAACACAGATAAAGTCTTCAAGTTTTTCTGTTTGCAGGTAGGAGCACTGAAGGAGAAATGCGCACATCACACTGAAATCCTGACAGAGAGCACGCTGAGAAAACCCGCTCTGGCTCTGAGACACTGCTGCACTCACTGCCTGAGACAGCGCCTGCCTGCAGCAGAGGCTTTGGGATGCTCACTCAGGCTGCACAGGATCTTCTTTCTTTAATATCTGTTCATAATTTAGTGCTGATGTCTTCACTCTTTCCTGAATAGTCACTCTCTCATCTTCCTTTCCTTTCTTTTCTAATATGAGCTCCAATGTCAGTCACTCCAAAGTTGTTCTTTTAAATGTCACTAATTCACACACTTCTCTTCCTTTCTTACATTTACCCAGCTTGCAAAATCTGAAAGCTCAGTATTACTCTGACCCACTATTATGCCAACCTAGAAACATGTCCTTGACCGTGAGGTTATGTCAATAATTGCCAGAGTGCATTTTATAAATCATATTGATATAATTTGTCTCATTACTAGGGAGCCCTTTATCATTTAGAACTATATCAGATACTGTTTTTTTTCTACAACTGGTGAATTCTTTTCTTTTATACTAAGAGAATCTTGATTTCTTTTAGTGAGTAATGTCTTTAATAAAAATACGCATGTTCTTCAGACTTCCACAAATTTCAATGATCATGTATCCTGTTCTGAATAATAAAGTGCAAGTATCATGAGTTACTATTATTATTTTCTTTCTTTTTTTAAATTTTATTTAAGGAGAAAAAAGAGAAAAAAAACAGAAACAGGGTACAAGTTATACAGAATATCAGAAAAAGTAAACAGTAGGAAATCACTAGTTAATTACATATTGTCATCTTAGAAATAGTTGTTGAAGTTACAAAATTAAAGCAGATAGAGGGGACTTTCAAACAGTGAGACTGCAAACAGTTTTGTTCAATGATCCAAAAAAACTCAGTAATATGGTTATCTATCTTATACACTTGAATATATATGCAGTTATATCTTTTAGAGAACTTTCTTTTCCTTTCTTTTGTACAATGACAATTACACATTTTGGGTTTTATTACTCCCACAGTTCTTACTACTTTTTTTTTTTGAAGAAAGTAAAACCAAATGTGACATATCAGGACAGAGTCAGTCAAATCAAAAGGATGGACATAATACATAATGTTAAAACAAAATACAAGGTGATCAACAATGGTTACCATAATGCCTCTTGTTATCTTAAAAAAAATTACCTATATCATCAGTTATAATAAAATTGTACAAAACAGTAATGAATAAGACCAATAAAACCAAAACATTGGAGACATTAGAGGGCTTCAGAAGAAGATAATAGTCAACCAGAGTGGGTGTCACAATGAATCTTATTGTCTTCATAGTTGTTGCCTATACTTTCGAACTCGGTACTATCAAGCATAACAGAATAGAGGAAAATCAGTCAAAACAAGATGGTGAGAGCAATACAGAGTTTCAAATCAAGTTAATAGGAAATCAAAGTGGGTTATTATAATATATTCTGCTATTATTTATTTATTTTTCCCTTAATTAAAAGGATAAAAATGAAAAAGTAGATAATAAAAAGGAAATTGAGATAAAAAAAGAGGGCATAACAACAAAACAGTGCAGGTCAAACCATAGCCATTTAAGCAAAATAGTGTTTCACCACAAAATAATCTCGACATAATAGTAGTTACCATAGTTACCATAGTGTCTCTTCCCTTAAAATCTTTGGGTATAACTTTGTATACTGTAGCATCAAAAGTATCAAGACAATGTAAAACTGTTCAAGAGAATGACAGTATTACAGGGTATTTAGAATCAAATAACAGAAAATGAACAATAGTTTCTGTATAATCTCCTTGTCTATAAAAGTTTTTGTTTATATTATCACATATAATAAAATCCAATAAGATACAACATGTTAAAACTGATTGAGATAGAAGAACAAAAGCTTGATGGGACTTCAAAACAAGAAGATGTTAAATCAGCACTACCTATTATGATGTCTTGTTTTCTCCAAAATAGCTGTTTCTACCATCCAACCTTCTCTACCTCTTTTCTGTTGAGGTCTTTTTCTGTCATTAGTTGTCAGTTTGTCTTCTTGATTTTGCTTTCTGCTCCATTCATTGTGGGCCATTCTGCCACTGTTTCTGGAATCTTGATATTTTTCATTTTTAGAATATCCTGCAGTATTCTCTATAGAGTTGAATTGGTGGTTGCAAATTCCCCTAGCTCCTCTTCATCCTGGAAGCACCTTGTTTTTCCATCAATTTCTAGGGACAGTTGGGCAGGATATATCAATCTTGGCTGGAGGTTATTATCTTTCAAAGCTTGAATT